TCTTGACTGACTGCAACGTGATCAACTATTTTTGGGTTCAGCTGAGAAATAGATAGTGATTCTAGTGTTTGCCGTCGGTTTTCTGATAAACTTCAAGCAACAGATCAGCTAGGAAATCAGCCTTTGTGTTTGAAGAGCATCATATTTTTGGATGCTGTAGAAGAAGACACGCTAAACGATTACTCTTCTCATTGCTGTGATATGCCTTGTGTGCGTGGTCAACTGCTTTACGCTCCATGAACAAAACAATCTAAAATGATATCTCCACTGGTTTCAGTCTTTGGCATGCACAACATTTAGGTGGAATGATATGGGCAGCACGATTTGAGCAGTATCCATTGATTTGATTCGATTTATTCCAAAGATCCTCTTCAAGAACCCCTCCTGACAAGATATAGCGCTTTGGTTATCAGTCAGTATCCTGCCTGTGACAATTCTGCGAGAAGCGGACATCACCGCCTGCAGCGAAAACTGAAAGAAGACATGTTGAGTTAGCATACATGTTGACGTTTTTTGATCAAAATTTCGTTGAAAGACAGATCCGCGCCCAAGTAGTTTGGAATCGTCCTTCCTTGTGCAAGCAATCCAGTCCGCACACATTAGAGATCGTACCACATTTGTTACTCCATAGTGAAGAAGAGACTACAGAGGTCTGGCTCTGACACCCGCTCAGTAGGACCGCTGTTCTACAAACGTCTACAGTTATGCGGGGGCACTCAGTTGTTCAGTGTAGCGGCAGCATTAATCCTAATCCGTTCTTGCTGACCGTGCTCGTCCACATGAAAAATTCTGCTCGCATCTTTTACTTCTTTCATTCGGTCCAGCTCTTGAATCGTATTCCTTGCTGTTTTTTCTTCACTGTTAAAGAGTATTTCGCTTTCGAAGAAAGGATTAGTGAGGCTCTTTTCGCAGAACTCGCTTTGTTGTCATGAAACGAGCAGGTCCGAGAAACTCGTACAGTGAAGCATGGGGATCCTCGCACAGAGTGTTCTCGATGATTTTTTCGCTTGGTTCTACCCTAAAATGTGATCTAGCGACCATGGGTTCGTTACTGAATGCCCGTAACTACGATATGCAATCGCGGGATTGGTTTTTGATAGAAAATTAACAGGAAAAACGTTCTGCTATTGAATTTGCACCACTTGATGGAGGATTTCCCTTACTATCAGCAGGAGATTCAACCCTATGATTTTTTGAGTGCTCTGAGAGGACTCTCATGTAAATATCTCTCAGGGAAGAGAGTTGCTTCAACGCTGAGCGCAATGTTTGCATGCCGGTCGAGACTGACAGCTCCGAGTCGTTTGAGTGTGAGAGCTCGGAAGGCTTTCGAGTAGAATCCGAGCCTAAAATTTAGTATTTCTTGACCATTCAGCTCACAAATTTTGAGCTGGTTCTTCTGCTCCATCGCATCTGTCAAGCGGAGAAGGGTGGTGTCTAGAGCGGTCCCTTCATGAATGTTGAGAGAACACTCATCTTTCACACAAATTCTATGTTAAAAAACGCAATGACTAGTGAGGCAGCCCAATATGTACGTAGTACAGACTAAAAACGGTTGAACTGCTTAGTCCCAAGAACTTTGGATTTCCATGATTAGGTGAAATCTTCATGCCCAAATTTTAAGGGCAAAACCAACGAACACACACTCATAATTATCTTGATGTAGAGCTCACTATCGAAACGTAAACATCACCTGACATTCCAGGTGACAATGACATGGGACTTTGCTGGCATTTTCCTGGCAACTGGCATGCTTCGTTTTCTGCCTTTAGGAGAGCCATTACTTCTTATTTTTGGTAGCGCATTTTTGTTTTCGCTATTGATTGTCACAAATAGCTTCGTCTATCGATACGTCCACTTATGCCAGTAAGTTAATCAACTATTTGTTGTGCACCTTTGAAGAACGCTAAACCCTTTACAAGTTGTCGATTGATAGCTACGTTCCAGACCTGGAGTACTCACATGGTATTCGTCAGAAAAATGCGGTTATTTGATAATTTCGCTCAATTTTTTTATTGTACTAAATTGGTTCTTGATGTTGTTACACAGTAGCCAGAGCCATGAGGAATTCCTCAGAGAATGGAGTCCAGTCGTTTTTGAGAATACCGGTATCAGCCTTAGCGATACAGCGTATTTTGAAATCAGGTTGAAGGTGAGCGAGGATTCGTTAGCTCCAAACAAAACTATGCATCAGATGCGACGGACTTAATGCAAAAGTTTCGCATTCACCTAGAGAGATATTTGTGTCTCAAGGAGTCAAAAATCATCTCGCTTATTTACGGCTCTCCTTCCTTACAAGGCAAGCTCAATTATGGCCATTCACGAAGGAATGCATACAGATGCAAGCATAGTGAGGCACTGATCAGCTTTAGGTACTTGCGGAGCGATTTCCTGGTTTACGGTCATGAAGGCTTTTCTCTCCACAACTTCTTAAAACAAGATCGGGAATACAGTAGTCAGTAGACGCCACGTAGGCTCTAGTGAGGAATAGAGCTCCTCACAGGGGCTTCTGTGGCGAAAGAGTGCGACATCTGTGTGGAGGTAGTGAAAGAATCTCTAAAAAAAGGTTTGGAGAAACGAAGGGCCCAAAGAAACTCCAGAGAATAGGTGGTTTTAGGGTTAACAGCGGTCTTAAAGCTAGCCTGTAATTGACAATTGCTCTTTGTTTGGAATTATTTTCTTTCTCAATTTCAATTTCTTATCACGAGATGATACTTACGCATGGAGCAGATACTTCTTTCTTTGGAAAAAGCTGACTGGAGTGTCGCTTTAGATGACCAGTCATCAACGGCGGACCAACCTCACAAAGCTCACTCGGCCGCAGCTTGTTCGCCCATTGACTGCCCAATTTCTACATTTAGGTCGAAATCTCAGATTTTCCTAGAAGTTTGCATCTCCCCTTAGGTAATTTGGCAGCTTGAACAAGAAAGTCACACCACCTGGTGTTCGTGATCGTCTCTGCCTCTACGGCGGCACAACAGGTCTAGAGTAATGCTCAACCCTTCAAATTTGTGCCCGCTTACATATATAGTGATTCCGTTACCTGGCGAATACGAGATCGTGGTGGGAAATTTGAGTTGTTTGTGCTCCTGGCATACAATATCACCCATGGTAACAAGATAGTAAACTTGGTGGTCACCTCCTTCACGAAGTCAACGCCGCAGTATGAAAATGCCGTGAAGGAAAGCATTCACTATTCCACCCGCAAGTTCTAAAGAGAGATTTGAGTTCAGCGTCTGCGATCAGTTACTCTGTTATAAATCTCTTCTTGATTGGTCATGACGACCTGTTCATCAACCGCTTAGTCAACAACTAATTACTTCTACGCAACACCAGCTGAAAACTACAATAATCGTATGAGATCGAACAACTCACAGTATGGAGGATACCAGCAACAATAAGTATGACCAGGAGGGTCCGGCTTGGAATTCTGACAAACTTTGAACCAGTGATTATTTGATACTAATGCTGGTCCCAACGATTACGCGGTATACTCGAAACCCATCGAAAAACGCCTGCATCAGTGATTCATCCTTGGAACTTCCGTTAGAGTACTCACACTATATGCCCTTATATGGGCCGCAAATGGGTAGGTGTCGGGTATATACAGAGGGGGGGAGGCAAAAAAGTCACTTCGACCGAGTCACATATCAGCAAAGTTTTCGCAGCCCAGACAGAGGACGTGGATACGAGTACCAGGGCGGAAGATACCCAAGATGTTCCTCTATAAGCAGGAGCTGGCTCTCGCCCATCACCTTCATGTACACCAAAATATGAAGTCATCTCCAGTCGCAGCCTGACTGGAGAAGACCTTTGGAATTCATGTCACCTCCAAACAGCTGCGAAACTTCTAGTATGGAGTCACCCATGGATAGCTACCTGGAGACCAGTACTCTCGATCTGGATGACCTCCAACATCGAGCAGCTCCGACAACGTCGCCACGGTCTAGGACATCATCTTCACCACAGTCGTCAAGGCGCGGGTTGATGGTATGGACCGGACGTACCTGGAATGGGAAGACCAATATTTTCTTCGTGGACCCCGGACATAAGGTGAGCGCTGGCGGTTACATTGAGCAACTCGTGAAGAATATCCTCCTCACATGTCGTCGTCCGTACCTTCTTGGAAACTTTGTACTGCTACAGGATTGGGTGACACCACATGGAATCGAAGGGCGTTGGAAAAACTCTCGCCTACTTGGAATGGAAGGGCGTTGAGTACCTGAAGAAGGTGGAATATCTAAGCAGGTCACCTGACCTAAACCCCCTCAATTACCTGGTTCGGGCGGAGTTCAATAGGGTGGCGGAGAAATCGACTATCTCGCTGATCTCAGGCACCACATCGCGGTCGCGTGCCAGAATCTCTCGATGGCGCTCGTCCAGAAGGCTGTGGCGGAGTGTCATGATAGTATTTAATATGCTCTTTAATATGGTGGTAAAAATGTCCGATCAGAATTCAATAAAGTGTAACTTATAGCGCCTCGAAAGTCAATGAAGAAAAGTGACTTTTTTGCCCCCCCCCCTGTATGTGATCGTTCTCGTGAGCGCACTAGTGCAGGTTAGGAGATCCACATGAGGGCGATCCTCACAAATTACCTAGTAGTTGCAAGCCAGTCGACTCGACATGATGCTTTACTTCTTCAAGACCAGTTACGTAGTCCAGTACGTTCTGGGACGGCGCGACTACTAGCTGCCCGGAAGTCTCCTTCATTTAAACTTTGAATGAGCGATGTGCGATCTGATGGTAAAAGTTCCTATTCCAGCATCTCACCTTGGTTCCACTGGTGCTACTGTGTGAGAACTGCCTTATTTTATTCTGCCTTCTAGCTATCAACTGTTTCTGTGCTATTCGGATCCTGATCACGCTAAGGAAAGCGACAATTAACCGACAGAACAGGAATTATCACAAACAGATGTTTTCGCTTTTACTGATACAGTGATGGTAGATTTTAGTTGACTGATTATCCCAATACACTCGTTGGCAGCATTCTCAATATATGCCTAGCGTGAAAACACAAATTTTATGCCCTTCGAGACATTGTTCGAATTTTTGTGTAATTATATGCAGCTAGTGGGCTTATTGATTAGAACGCAGTATTCAAAGGTAATGTCACAATGATGCCATCAAATCCCTGCTTCCACAAGGTTGCTGATCCATGGAAAAAGCTAATCCCTGGTCTAGGACTTGAACTTGATTTTCACACTTTCCAAATGCCGTTTTGATATTCACACAGTGATGAAAAAGCAGAGCGGTTAACCGATAGACCTGTTGTTTATTCGATCTTATCCGCGTGCATATTGAATCATATCTGTCGAGATCTTTTCCTTTCTGCCAGTTCCATCTATCTCTCGCAGTCCCTGAAAATATCTTTGATTTCCCTGGCCTTGCCCAATGTTCCCACTTTGTGCTGCTTAGAAGGCCTTATGATGGTTTGAGTTAGTTCCTCTTTAGAAATCCAGTAGACTCGCTCTTAACTCGATTTTGTTCGGCATCGTTTACGTAAAATATTCCCTCCTGGATTTTTCTGTTCATCGTCTTTTCATCTGAATTAGCAGAAACATTTCACGCTTCGCTTGCCAGAAGTGCTGTGATAGTCAGAAATTACGAGTGCAGTGGCACTGTGATATTCTTCGATTGCAAATGCAAGGTAGTATCCATATTAGCTATGGCCGTCGCCTAAACGTGCGGCTGCTATTGCAGTTTGGAACAGGGCACATCATTAGTCGGCGATTTTGGTCGAGTGTCTTAAGAGGTTGCTTGACGTCCCCCCTATTTCCCTCGTCTGATACAATCGAGCTGTGCCGCAGAGAGGAGGGGGGGGGGGGGGAGCAAAACGAAGCATACACGATCTCCTCCCCCCCTCCCCCTTCAGAGCGTCCTTGCAACGAGAAGAATCACAAAAAAATCTCAGACCAAGACGACCCACCTCTCCTAAGCCAACCATAGGGCCCATTTTGGCGGAGTCTTCAACGAAGATGTGCTTTGATCTGGATCTGGAGATTGATTTTCTCAGCTCTGAACATACTCCAGAAATCATAACTCAGAAATCCTGTGATAATCGATATCGCTAAGAAAGGAGTAGTACGTAAGAGGGTGCGGGAATTAAGAAGCAAGCTCTGGTTTCAGACTGCATGTCCAATGCTATTTATGTATGCTCCGATAGGATTTATGTATGTGATGCTGTTCAGTGGCACTAGAAGTACAACTGCCATGACTGCAACTATTGCGGCACTTTTTTCTATGTTTCCTTTGATTGATCCAATTATTCCCATCGTATTTCTAAGAGAATATCGCGAATTCGTTCTTGACGGCTTGAACAATATATCGCCTACGCGCGTTGCTTCTCTACCGACACTTCGTACAATTTTCTCATAACAAAGTATAAACAAATGGAGAACCGCAACGGCAGGTAAACCTCATTTCGAAGTTTTTTGGCAAGACATTCATTATGCTCAAGGTTTTGAGAACGTTCTGGAAGAAATGCAAGCTTTTCAAGAAGCCGAGAAGTGAAGTTAACGGGATGGAGTGAAACGTCAAAGCTCTGTTCACATTTGCGGCGTGCTCTATGCTCGGACTTTGAGTTGTGCTCATTATTTCTGATCTTGTTATGATGCTCTCTGTAATAAAAATGTTTGAATGTGTGTCGTTGCAGTGATTAGTTGAAACCTGGGTGTCGAGTTCCTTTTTTTCTGTTGACGTTCAGTAAGATGACGTCAAGAACGTCGCATGCAGCGGAGCGGAACGGTAGCCATCATTACAGTGTGCGCCAATTAAATACGCTAAGTTGCAGTATATATTTTTCTGAGATTTTGCAACGGTATGCACGAGGCTGTTAGGTAGTTCATTAGTTCAAGCTGCACTTCTCAGCCACCACTGATTTACTCGGAATAGGTCTTCCTTGAAAACGCCTCTCATCCTTGCAGAAGCATGCGGAAAGATAGCTCAAACAATCTCCGGATGCGAAAAGTGCGAAGTACACCACTGAAAAACTTTTGAACCTCTTGTCTATGAAACACCTCCACCTCCGATTAGAGTAAAATCTCCTTATTGTGAGCACGTTTCTAGCGTCCTTTCCTGCACTTTTCCCTGCCAAAGGAATGTCATCTCATGTTTAAGGGACTAAGCTACTACCTACAATGAGTTCCTGACAAAATCTACCCCCGAGACGAATTTCGATAAAAAAAAAACTGGCCTGAACATTGGAAATTGCAGGGGAGGGGCCTTGCATTTTCGGTGTCGGTAGGTGTATTAGGTTGTCCGGAAAGTTCTTAGCGTTTTGGGTGTTTAACTTTAAACGATCATAACTTTCTTAACACTCATCGGATTTAATCCAAATAAGCACCATTCGAATCAGCACACTTTTGCCAATGTGGCAGCAGTCGAGAAATCCCATCAAAGAAAAAACTGGGTGGTCGAGAATCCACGAAATCTGCGAAGGTCTTTTTTGCCTGGTCCTGTTTGATGAAGTATTTCTCAGCAGGAAAGTTCTGAAAATGTCTGAAAAGGTGACAGTCGGTTGGTGAAAGGTCTAGAGAATATGGTGGGTGAGGTAGAACTTCAACTCCACAATTTCGTTCAATCATGGATAGTGATTTGTGAAACGTGGGCGGGCGTTGTCATGCAAAAGAATCGGACCCTTTCTTTTGATAAGTGTTGGCTGCAGCTGACAATATTTTCGGTACATTTGGTCGGTTTGTTCACAGTAGGGTTCTGCTGTGATGGTTTGGCCTGGTGATGAAAAGTTATAGTGGATTACAACAGCCGATGACCACCAAACCTGACCAGAATTTTTTTTTCGCGAGGGTTCGGCTTTGAAAATTACCTCGGTGTTCTCCAACCAAACCACTGTCCGGAACGTCTCCTGTTATCATACATGATCCATTTTTCATCACAGGTGACAAATCCGTTCAAAAACGGGTCAATTCTTTTGCGCAAAAGCAGTGAAGAAGGAACCTCGAGACGTGCCGATTCCCGGTCACTCCGATTGTGGGGCACCCAATTGTCGAGTTTTTTCACCTTCCCAATGCGTTCCAGACCATCTGCAACAGTGGATTTGCCAAGGCCTAGCTCTTCTGCTATCTCTCGAACTGTTTGGGATGGGTCAACCTTCAAAATCCCCCTAAAATCCTCGTCAGATATTGCTTTAGGTCGACCGCTATGAGGCTCACCTTCAAGGCTGAAATTTCCAGAACGACATTTGTTGAGCCATTGCGGCACAGTGCTTTCTCTAGCACTATTGGGCCTCCACACCTGGTTAATTTGTTGAGCTGTTTCGATTGCGGATTGCCCCAATTTATAGCCGAAGAAAAAAATCGTCCGAAGTGCTCTTTTCACATGCTTGAAAAAATCTTGAAAAAAAGAGGGTTTATCAAGCAATGGTGAAACGGCAATTATACCATCAGATAGCGCAAGAAATTCTCTACAGGATGTGCTACTGAGAAGCAAGGCAGAATGAGTTTTTAATCAGCAGTGAATGTACAAAATTAGGTGCACAAAACGCTAAGAACTTTCCGGACAACCTAATACTCTCATTCTGACCACATCAGCGCCGGTCGCTGCCGCGAATTTCCTTAGTGTACAGCGTTGAGGTTTTTCTGTCATTCCCTTCATTTCCGCCATTTTATATTTGATGTGAAAGAAAAACCGAGAAATAATCAAACTAGGGAACATGGTTATTCGACAACGCCCAACTGGCGAAAAGTAACGTTTCAGGTGGAGGCGATTTCAAGTCCACACCACTACTACGTCCCCAAAAAGGATTATGGTCTGCTAGCGATAAATCAAAAAAGATCCGGTTTGTTGCTTATGGCAATCAACATGCGCGACTTCTTTTGACGACAAATTTCCGACCACATTACCTTTCAATGGTGTTTTTCGCAATTTTGATGAGTGCCACACTTCTGAAGATCGCATCTCCGCACGGAGCATATTATCCTAATCACTGGTATGGGTCTAATTCAGTGAGTTCCGTTTCAAAGATTTGGTTTTACCTCATTCAATTGTTCGTCTTTCTTGTTTGGCTAGCAGTTTTGGCAAACTCTAAACTTATAATATCTCTCCAGTGACTGACAATGATTATGAAACGTAAAGCTAGTTGGCGTGAGAGACACAAAAAGTGCCGATTCGCTGCGACGCTGGGCGCATGTCAACGACAGAAGGGACATTTTGCATTTTTGTTACTTCCCTATTTCCGGTTTACAAGTCTCACTCTGGCAGAACCTGGGAGCTCTTGCGAACTTGAAGCAATCTCGTCGGCCACCACTTTTTCATTGCTGTACAAGATTTGACAACTACTATTTACTATGGTTTACACGGGACTTCACATAATGGCGATGCGACGTAGCAAAAGTTCAGACTGCCCCCTCTCCCTAATCGCCGAACTGTAAATGCTCTCAGCGTTCTGGTCCTGGAACGCCTACTTTGTAGCGCTCGTTGCCACTCGGGCAAATGATGCAGACCAGTGTCCCCACCAGGGCACGCCATCGCGTTGTGATCATTTTCCGAAAATTACGACCCCTCCCCAATTCCATACTAAAATACGACCCTTTTTGGAACGTTGGTACGACCGTCCCTGCCCGCCAGCCAGTCGCTGATGGATTCTGTCCTTCCTAGCATACGAACCGAGACCCGGTCAGCGGGGAGAGAGGGGGGGGGAGGCCATCAAATTAAATATCCTTAAACCTATGCATTTCCAAGTGTCGAATGAAGTAGTGCATCGTAAACTGACACCCCTCCCTCGCGGTCGCGACCCCACGTTTCCGATCGGCGCTTGTGTGCTGATCAGTCAACGATGCGTAACCCCTGGTCCCACACCATTTCAAACTTTGATGACCTTAGGATTTGTTGTAGCGCACGCAAACTTCTCACAGGCGGCGCCGGAGGACTGAATAACAGGTGGTTGCACGTAGTCCATCATGACAACTGCCGGGGTCACGATAAAGCACAATGGTCGATAATGTGATAACACTGACCGCTACATCTCCGCCTCCCTCCCCAGCCTCCCCCTGCCTGATCCAATCTTCCACTTCGACCCGCTACCCACAGCGCTCCTAACGCCACTGCTGCCACCCTCCATTATTCCAACAGCATAGCTCCTGCCGATACGAGAAAAATCTAATAATCCGTTTTATGAAGAGTAGAGAGTATCTCTGCTTGCCCAATTTGACCCCCTTGTAGAATTGCTCTTTAACATGATATACCGTCTCTCCGGTGTTTCCGGTCTCTCAATAAAGAGATAGGCAGCAATACTACGCGATCAACTGGCAGCCCCAATCTTGGTGTGGTGGACAGCCCACACTTGAGGTACCCTGGCAGTCGTCCTGAGTAGTTGTATGGCTCAATGCAAAGAGATGCACGGATGATAAGCAGGACGAGTGCGTTACCAAGAAGGATGAATGGTCGCAGAAAAGGGAATGTTGGGATTCCTTTCACTGCCTCTCAGGATTGGAGCTGATACTTTCTATTACTTTCGCTATTTCTTTTCATTGGTTCATGTTCACTAACAGCTCTCACTTTGGTCGGAGCTCGAAATAGTTGGATTGAGCTTATTTGGTTCAGAAACTTCCAGATGTTGGCCCATGCAAGCTTTGCTGAGCGCCCCCAAACCGAATTGCGCCATTGCTACTCATCGCTACCAACTTGTTATTTATCTATTTACATGTTCTATAATTCTAGATACTTATGAAGTAGGCCTATTCAGGCAAGTATTCAATCGGGTGTTGCTCCAGTACGGGGTCCCGCACCTTCTAATGCAGGCACTTTGGCACCTTACGTATGTGGATTCAATCCTTTCACAAGGTGAGTTGATTCACTTGGGACGTCAAGTACCAAATAAATACCCCTAGCTAGTTTTGCGGGACCTACCTGGATTCTTTTTCAGGAAATGCATGGACCCAGAACATTACTGTCCTGGACGATGTATGAACTTCCGATATACCTACAATACCCTGTATGATTGTAGATGTCTTGTTGTTAATGAATAAATTTGTTCTCTTGTATTGCGTGGGATTCGATTTTGTATCAGCTAATTTTTTTTCTGGACCTATTGATCTTTACTGAACTAACAGGAGAAATAGGATAAATATGTGCTGCGGAGTTGGCGCTGATAAGGGTGTAGGATGATGGGGTTTGCATGCCTAGGGAGAAGACCCGCGTCGGCGCAGAAGGCGCAACCATATTTTGTCACTGAGAGCTTTGCCGTAACGCTGATAGTGCATCAGCACCCTGACTCCATATTATCGCGGCTGTACGATTGCAATTACTCCCTTGGGCTCTTGTCGGACCGCACTTTGAAAGTTCTGAGAGTTTGATCGCAGACTAGGCGTAGCGTCAGAGAGTAGCATGAAAGGGGCTATCTAAAGATCTCGTCGCAGAGAATCCAACAATTGACGAAGTTCACGTCATCTGTTTAGCATTCTTCCCTTCTCCTGCGGTAGGAGTTTGCGGAAATTCAGTGTATGGTAGTGGGATGAGTGATGAAGAGGAGGGGCCACATAGAGAAGTTTTTCGAGAGAATTAGTTTCTTTACAAAAGTTTTCCTAGCGGCTGTTCCCTTGCTGATACCACCCGACGTATGAAGCCGGTGACTCTCCATCCATCAATAATATTCTCATCCCAGTTCCTCATCTCTTTTTAGAACCAACACCCCACTGTGACAGGGAAGCGCGCTACCTATTTCCTGTCAAATATGAACAAAGACAGACAAACTTAGCGGATTATGAATAAGAAGATCTCTTTTATAACATACTATTTCCTGAAGATTTCATTTCGTACAGATATTTACAACTACTGTGTAGATTTCGCAGTTAACCGTTTCGCCGCGTGCAGAATCGCCAATACTTCTCGCATCCTTCACGATATTGCGGTTGACTGAGGGTGAACGGATTGCTGCAGTAAGTTTCGGCAAATCCTCTGAAAAAAGTTTTTTTATTGAGATGAAGTGAGAACGCGGACGCAAAACCAGCCAAACCAAATTGTCACAAGAATGGCCGCGTTCGTACATCGCGACTTGAAGGACTCAGTTGCGCGCTTTGAGATTTACTAAACTTCGCGGACAGCACCCCGTCGCTGACCGTTGGATCTGCATCCGCAAATCCAGTCCCATTCAGACTACAACTTCTTTTGACCGTTGCAGCAGTCCAGTAATTGCCGATAAACAGCAGGTGAACTAGTCGCGCGATTGAGTCGCTCAAGCTACTGGACTGGAGCACCGGACTTTATGTAGGCTGCGCCTTCGTATATACTAGCGGAAGTTTGTGGTTATACATTGTCTTACCTTACCCTGGCGTCTATGTATAACCAATGGTAACCTTACATGGTTACCATTGGTTATACATTGACGCCATCTACGACTCAGAAACATCGTAGTTCATCGTCGCCATGTCCACCGGCGCGGCGAAGTGCGGTTCTCTTCTCCCGCACCCAGCCCCTTCACATCACCCAATCGCGCTTTCTGGTATTATCTTCGATTGTCTTGACCGTCTCCCGGGATGGTGCTAGAGACCGATCCCGCAGGTAATAGCATCGCTGTTCATGACTCACTGGACATACTGCATCGGCGGGTGCCCTGGCTGCAGTATATCCAGTGAGTCATGAACAGCGATGCTACCTGCGCGTCGCCGCAGAGCGGATTCCCTGAAAAAAACCTTTGCCACCACCGCAGATGAGCTGCGGGCTTGTTGCGCGATGAGCGCCCTAACTTGACGCCCTTCCACGAACGACCGCATTTATCCCTGAGCCAACCAAGGAGGAACGTGATCTCTTTGAAGCGCTCGATCATAATGATATTGGTGTTGTAACCACTGATAGACGGGCGATTCGCGAGCTAACGGGGTCGAGTCTCGCGACAGTGTCAGAGCTGCTCTACAGTATCCACACGAGTTATTCTTGAAACAAGGGGATTTGTTCGCCGTTTGTTGGTCTTTACGACCCTTCCAAGAAAACAGCAGATAGATCCTTTCAATAATTAGAGCGAGCCATGAGACAATTCAGCTCGTACGCAAGACAGCGGCATCGCGGCCACGCCTACCACCGCCGCGACCTACGAAATCGCCACACACTTGAATACAGGCAGGCTATCACGCTGCCTATATATCGCATTGTCCAACGCTTCAGCATCTGGACTATTTAGGAATCATTATACACCTAGAAGATCCATTACTACTCACCGGTAACTTCGACATATCCTTTCAACATAATTGCTTCTACGTCCAGTCGGTGGTTTCCGCGTTGGCAGTACAGGTCGATCAGGAAGTGGTACATGACATCTTTCAGAGTAGATTGGACAGAATACTACTGCCTGGAATTAAGTAACAATAGCGCTGATAGTCTGCACATAAATCATTGAAAACCTTTAATGGCGTAACGGCGGCAGCTGTGTGATTCGGGATCCCCGTGATTAGGTTTGTGAGTGTAAAATATTTCGCTGAGAGCAGATGTCATTTTAATCCTTTACGAAGAACATTTCGTTGTAGACTTCTCTTCGGCTTTCCCCGTTTCCCTTGTAGGCAAATTATTTTAAACAAAAAAAGGAGATAAATTTGGTGTGAATTTGGAAAGCTGGTCGGTAGGTATGGAAGATATTGATGGAAATGGGAAGCGGAGGCTGTACCAAAGGGGAGGAAAAAGGTGAAATTTCGGAGAGGAGGTAGTATTTTGCGAAGTTTTTTCCCCCAACAGCACGGTGTGCCCAGGCCGAAATGGCAGACGCTGCCACCTCACATCTGCCAGTTGCGAGTTGCCCGTTAGAACGAGAACCGGTTACCCGCTTGCACCGCATTTGGGGTATTTTCAATTTTTTTTCCATTTTTTCCTATTATGTGGGCGCTCTTTACCGAGTTGATTTTGCTGTTTTTAGACTCACCTTTTGACCGAATCGGAAAGGATCGGGACACACAAATAGATATCGATTCTTGAATTCTTTGCAAAACTTCGTAAAAATCGATCCGCTTCTTCTTTTTCCCCTCTCGGGCCTGAAATCATTTCGGCTTGAAACGACTCCTGTGAAGCGCTTACGACAGTCTGTAGCTTTCCTACACAGCCTGCTAATATTTTTGAAGTTTCGAAAAACTTTTGGCCCCAAGCTCCACTTCATGGGGAAGATGGAAATAATAACAAATCATGCCAAAATGTGCCGAGAAACTATCAAAGGCACTTTCCATGATAATCGAATGAGGTAAGAAATGGCCAGAGACTCACACATTAGCGCACTTTACCTGTTTACCGAAGTAGGAGGGGAAACCCGCCACGAGGTACGCAAATTGCTATGAAGCCCCCGCCTGTTTCTCCGCCGTATATGCTCATCGTGGGAATTCCATGCTTAATGACTTAAGACAGAGCTTACCGCGATAAAGTGTTCGGGTAATTGGTGCCCAGTAACGAAGCAGTGGCCCATTTGTAAACCCCCAGTGGAAAAAAAACCTCGCGAACACCCGGAACACGGACCTCCCTTTAGCAGTGGGGGCGGGGCCTGGACGAGTGTGCCGGACGTGGCTGCCAGAAATCGATGCGGCAGCCGCAATGGCGTCCCGACGTTCGAAATAGGATACTTTAAAGGGACGGAAGCAGCTCGGGACCGGACGCCTCGTCCACCTACCGTCTCAGCGAGCCTAGCGAGCCTTGTGGAAATCGCTATAACTTCCTCATCGCGCCATATTGAGGGATGAAAGTGCTATCATCTTCGTCAAGGCGTAGAGGGTTCCAAACAGCACGAATTCATTTTTGGAGGGCCACCTTGTAATCGCGGTAAGTGTCTTTAACTCTGCTTATTCCACTGGGAGCTCAACCTTAGAGCGTAACTGTGAAGGTTGTCACGTAAAGGAGGAAGAAGGCAAAAATATGGAAAAAGATGAAAAAATAAAATTTTTGGAGCTGATCTGGGTTTTGGGAGGGGGATAGGCTACATTCTCCTTCTGCCTCACAACGAATCCTTTCGCGCCTTTCACTGTTTTGGCAGCCTCATTTCTAGCAGCTGTGGTGTCGCGTTCAATCCTGCGAACACAAATGCGCGCGGAAGAATATTATAATCTTGTTCGGTACGGAAGAATAGGGCGCGCCAGATGGGAAGATGGGGGGAAGGGGAGTTAGTGCCGCGTCACTTCGTTTCCACCATTTATCGTCGCATGGTCTTTTCAACAGTTGGATGAGAACGGGGTGGGCAACGGCAAACGCAGCCCTTTTGCTACGCATCCACAGGGAACAAAACTGTACCAACACGGAGAATAAAAAAGCTATCGGTTGCAAAAACACTCACTGTCTCGTGGTTGTTCTTTCTTCGCCCTCGTCTGAGGCATCATTGATCGGTTTCAGTTCCCTTATCAGAGCTGTCCTATAAGTATTTGTATCAAATGTTTTTGCTTATAATCACGACCTAGGTACAATGAGAACGCCTTGGTCATTGGGAGAATTACTGATTTATAATATTCGAAAATAAAAGGGAGCTATAAAACCCACAAGTAATCTACAGATAAAAGATATGCGTGGAAAAGAGATTCCCCGCAGGAGGGGGGGGGGAGGCGGTTAAGAAAGACGACTGAGGAAGAAGCCAGTGGCGCAGCTTGACAACATTCAGGTTAGCTCATGACAAGGCGGCATCAGTATTTTGAAGAGAGAAGGGTATGAGGCATTTTACAACCTGCTCGGTTCTTCAAAACAACAGTGTTGAACAGGGCTCTATCAGAAGGCACGTTGCTCTTCAGAGTCTGCCCCAAGAAAAACTGCCTAAGATCAGCTCTGCTAGTAGCAGTTAGTCGGAATGTATCGTCTTATCATCAGCCACAATCACAAGAATTACAGCGCTTTTGCTGCCGACGCTGGTGCCACTCAGAGATACTGGGTTTGAGCGGTGCCACTCGGTCCTCCTTCATTTGTTGAAGCGATCGAGCGGCAACAACCGGTAGAAAAGGGCGCCGCCACGAACCCAGCCCCTGACATCCAGCCCAGCGTCTGTGGCGGAAACGACTACACACCAAGCCTGCCGACTAACTGAAAATCTATGGGCCGCATGGGCGGGTGCTTTTTGACAACTGCGCCCTTTTGTTTGACTAATCCTCCACCACAATAGCAAAAAAAAGAAGCGCACTAATGAAGAGGGCGCTGTGGTTCAAGTTACTCCGCCCATCGGTCACTGATTAATATGCCTTTGCACGATAACTCAAGGAAGGAACGACCTTATCGCAATGTTAGCCTATGGAAAAAGGTTTCACCTAATGACCTGGTTAGTATGAAAAATAAAGAAAATTAAAATTCCGCAATTATTCAATCAAACTTACGGTACTGTAGGTGCGGTAGACTGATCGGGGTCTTCTTTCGAAATACGGAAGCAAATGTTCTCGAACGCTTGACAAAATTCATCTTCTTTCTTGTCGATCTTATGCTGACCAGATAAGGCACACACTTTTACGTACTCATGCCGCAGTTCTGCACAAGCGATCTGAAAGGATACCTTTTGTATCTTTTGGGGGAATTTGGGGCTGCAACGTTTCTACTGTCCCCTAGTCGGCTGAATGTGCTCATTGACGTTACCTTGTCTTTTTCCGTGATTTCCGAGTCACGTGTCTCTCTGGTTCTGGGGACGTGATCTTTGCAAAATGGCAACGTGGGGTCGCGACTACATCCCATTGCAACGAGATCTTCCGCTTTGCACAAAGTCGCTATACCCATTAACAAACAGCAATCGCATTTTCTGAAGAACAAAACACATTTATAACAGATTTGAGGGGAAAAGCATGTAAATAGGTGCGGTTCACAGAATACCGTGCACGAAAACCTGACGACTTTTCTAGGATGTCTAGGTGCGGAGGCAGTACATCATGTTTGAAGTTACAGTTGTAGTATTAAATCTTGTAAAAAGCAATGGCACTCATTTCTTTACGCGGGGAGTGGCCAGTCTCTAGGGCTGTGTTCAGAATTCGCTAAAGGAGGAGTAACTTTGAGTAAATACAACGTCACCAAACTTGTGAAGCGGCCTTGCTGCAAGCTTGTCTCGAATCACCTCAGCGAGATTTTGGGAAGCCTTTACAAGTTTCAAGTTTAGTTCAATTCTCTCTCATAGCGGCGCCAAAAGAATTATGCCGCATTACGCATGTGTTATTTCGCAAAAAGTGGCTTTTACAGAATCAATACAACTGTGTGGGAGGAATGGGAGAAAGAGAGGTAGAGGAGAGGGGAGGAAGGAGGTGATTGTAAATTCAAGCACAAGAATCACACCAGTGCTGCAAGATCTTTCTACGGAACATTATATCAACTCAAAACAATCAGTCGGCGATTCCATATTTTGATAGTCATGATCTGAAATATTGTTCATTATGATGAGGAATTCATCCTAGATCTTATCCACTGGTTCTCAAAGCCATCGTCATGGAGAAAAAACAACTGCTCGGGGAAATCTATAAATGCACTCTAGAACCACTGATAGCTGTGAAACATGCGCGAAGCAGAACGCGAAACGCAGTTGATAGTAACGCATACTTAATCCTGCAATGCTGAGGTAATGTCGAATCGCAGGCTGACAAAAGACAAAGAACTCATCTGTGGTATCGCAGGGGGGCAATAAAAAAACGACACTTCGGACAGAGTTCCATATGAGCAAAGTTTCGTAGCCGCATGACAGAAGGACGTGGATCACGAGTACCAACCGTCGCGCAAAAGATACGCCATATGTTCCTCTAATAAGAAGCAAGAGCTGGCTTCATCGCGGCCATCACCTGTCATGTAACCAAAAATATGAAGTCATCTCCCAGTCGAGCCTGCTGGAGAAGACCTTTTGGACTACAATGTCAGCCTGTAAATGCAGCTGCGAAACTTCGAAGCCACCCATGGATAAGCTACCTGGAGACCAGTACTCTCGATCTGGATGACCTCCAACATCGAGCAGCTCCGGCAACGTCGCTACGCTCTAGGAGCGCTGGCGGTTACATCGAGCAACTCGAGAAGAATATCCTCCCCACATGTCGTCGCCCGTACCTTCTTGGAAACTTTGTACTGCTACAGGATTGGGTGACACCACATGAAATTGAAGGGCGTTGGAAAAACTCTCGCCTACTGCGTGGCTTAAACCCGCATCAATTACTTGGTTTGAAGGCGAAGTTCAATAGGTGGCTAACAGTGCGGAGAAATCAACGATCTCGCTGGACTCAGGCACCGAAACCATGGTTGCGTGGCAGAATCTCTCGATGGCGGTGGTCCAGAAGGCTGTGGCGGGGTAAATCACACTGAATAGTAATTGGAAATATCTCTTCAAATATGGCAGTTAATATCGGTCCGATCAGAGTCAAATAACAGTGAAACTTTAGCGCCTGCGATAAGTGAAGAAAGAAAAGTGTCTTTTTTTATTGCATACCCCACCTCCTTAGCATATGGCGACACTCCTCAGTGAAGAATTCCATATGAACGACACGTCCTGCGACAGCCGAAGAAAACAAGAGGGCGCGTCCGCTTTATTTCTTCCGTGTAAACATCAAAACGATCAGGGCACCGTAGCGCTTGTAAATATCAGCGCGTTTTCCCCTGTCACTATAATTTTAGCATTGGGCCTCGATTTGACTCTCATGCAAAGGTGGTCGGAATGTGTCACTTCTGTGCAACGCTCGCCCGTGCAGGCAGATGTGTTCCTAGGATCCTAGCGAAGGTCTGGATCTTGGCCTCATTTTCACTCTCCAGCGATGATTGACCCCTGCGCCTGCGATTTCGTGAGCTCCGAGAAGAATTTCCATTCTCTAGGAACAGCTCGTTCACTGTTTCGCAGACTTCAACTCAAGTGAAACTGAAACTCCGAGACAATATACCATCATGATTCCTGCAAACGATAAAACGTGTGAAGCGGCGCGTATTGCAATGCGGCCAGGGTCTTTTCTCAGCGATAATGCCATCTAAGCCCACTACGACTGGCGTGAACTGGTTGCGCTCCAAGGCGCGACTCCGTCACACTCCCCGCACAGTTTGCTGGGCATGGCTGTAAACTATGAAGTGAACGATATGTACCTTTTCCGGGCTTTCGAAACCCGGGTGAGATTTTGTCCCACCCCCCTCAAGGTTCAATTCTAAATTGCATTCGAGAGTATGATAGCTTGACTTCCTGACACAATAATCCTATTCAGTATTTGCGCTCCGCGTTAGGATGTCCATTGGAGCTCAACTTAAAGGATAAAGGATAAAGTCTTCGCCGTTGATCAATCCCTTTGTGGGATGCGGCACGCATTCTACTTCCATTCAGAATCGTAGTGGCTTTTGAATGCGATGTGGCCTATGGCAAATGGAAAACTGCGGGGGCCCAGCCGGAATTGTAAGCAGGCTCAGTGTTCTTATCCTCCTAGACGAATCTGGTACCAATTTACCGTCCCAGGAGGGTAGAAGGCTTGGTTGGCCCTGGGGAGTGTCGACCTGGGATTCGAACCCAGAACCGCTCGAGTGGTAAGTGCGCCTTTTGTCTCTACACCACCTCCGCTCGGAGCCCAATTTAATTGTGATAATCGTAATCAGTTTATCGATGAACAAATTTAGCGAGTTTGTCAAGTCGAGGTGCTATTGCAAATGTACCGCGAGTACTCGCGCTAAACTTCCTCACATAACTCGAACAGGTACATCGTACGCTGTGGAATCACCCGCGGGTTCTTAGTTGATGGCTAGGTGGATAGAGAGAGAGGGCCCTTTCTGGCCTGAGAATTTTCCTGATAGTACCAGATTTTCTGCCTCTGTTCTATCTCCCCACCAGCCCCTAGCTGCCGGCGCCGCAAAACTACCATACAACTAGGTTCGAAAGTCGAATTCAGCAGATGTTTGGTGGGCGACCTTACCACCCCCCTCCCCCACCGCTCATTCGACGACAAAAATGCGAAGAAAAACTAACTGCGCAGAAAGGTGACAGGAAGTTGGGGAAAACTTGGGAAGATGGTAGGTAGCATGGGGAAGGATAGGGTCGCATTAGAGAAGGAAACTTTTCTGGCACCGTCTGCTGGACAGGGCTAAGGTAAGGTGTTTTTGGGGAGATGCGGGGGGGATAAGTACTTATATATATGAAGCTAAGGATAAAAATGAAATATTTGTGAAGTAATGCAAATCATTTCGAACGAAAAAAAATTTGAACCAATAAATAAATAGGTGTGGTGATACAAATGATTGTTGTAAAGGAACTGTTCACGCTAGGTGATCATCAAAAAGAACACTGGCGTAAACAAATCAATCCAACGACACTATTACAACAGCATTCGATACGATTCTCGTCATAGGGATATCTTCAAAGACCGGTTGAGTGATTCGTTCAAAAAAGAACTCTTCGTGAAGCTTCAAATTGCGTCAGAAAATCAAGTTGCCGATTTACGGATTCAATAAGACGTTCTTTAAAAGCTTTATTATGAAGCCCGTCCGAGCACTAAGCGGTCAGGAGAAGTAGAGTCGAAATAGAATATTACCGAACCTTGGAAAGTTAGAATAGAAATGAAAAAGATAAGCAAAAAAGACACAAACTGTTCACATCCTTGTGATCAGTCCCATAGGCTAAACACCGCAGTTCATTGTATAGGTCATAGCATGCAATCAAATACGTCCTGTTGCTGGGGAAAATTCTTGGAAAAAATACGACCCTTCCAATTTCGCTATGCTGCAACCCCCACCCCCCCCCCCTTCCTCATACTATGATTGTCTAACTCTTCCCAGAGTCGTCCTACGACAATTTCTGGAATTTCCCAAAAATCTTCGTCTTCCTCACCGAAAATTCAGCCTTCGAG